TACTGGCTCAATTGCAAACCCTGAGTTACCCTTCACTCCTCTTTCTCACTCTCTAACATCTAGGCCATGCATCAATCCAGTTAGCCCTACCTGCAAAACACCCCCAAAGCTGACCACTTCCCCGCAGCTCCAGACTGTCCCTCTGGCCTGCTGCAGCATCTCACTGCCCCATTTTGATCTCAACCATCTACTGCCTTTTTCTCATAGGCAGACAAAGTGAGTGAGACGCGGGGCCAGCCCCCCTCTCAATGCCCAGGCCCCCTGCGTCTGTCTGGGGCATTAGGTCAGACCTCACCATCTCATAGCTTTTGAGCCCTGCTCCTCTGCTCCTGCCCAGGCTCCTGGCCATCCTAGGCTCTCCACATGTTTTCTCTGCAGTCCTCAGAGCCATGTGCATCCTGGCTGAGAGATTTCACAACTGCTGAGCTTCCACCTAGAGAGCTCTTCCCTCTGGTTTCTGTGTCTGGTTCCATTCATTCAGGCATCTGCCCAGAGATCATGTTCTCAAGGAAGCCTCTGCTGACCATATAGCCAAAGCAGCCCCAGTAACTCTCTCACACGGGCCCTGGTGTCGTTTCCTTTGGACACCTGAACCCCACCTTCTTGGGATGGGGTTATTGTCTGTCTCCCCACTGAGGTGTCCTCTCTCTCTTGCCCACAGCTATGGTGCTGGTGCCTGGCACAGTGCCTGGCACACAGCAAGTGCGTCCTAAGCAGCTATTAAGGGAGTATCTTCACATCTTCTGGGACTCTGTGTCTGGGACAATTGTATGGTCCTCATGCTTGTTCAATCCCCCCAACTCCCTGAATTGAAGCCCCACTCAAGAGCCCCTTCTCCATGAAGCCTCCCCAGATTCCACAAACTTCACTGCCCTGCTTGTCCTCGCACCCATTGCAACAAGTAAAGCCTCCCCAGGACTGCACAGTCTCTGGCATCACTGGCCTTTTGGGGTCTGCACTTGTTAATTTTAAGCCCTCATGGCTCTTATGAATAGTCGTATTTCTTTATTTTTAAAATTTGTTACAGGGCATGTGCACTTGCTGGAGAGAGATGGGGGAGAGAGACAGAAGGAAAGTGAGAAGGCGCTCCCACGGGGGACGGCCATGCTGCGATATCTTCTTTTCCATTCTTCTCTTGGGATTTTGTCCACACATGCACCCGCTGTGGCTGGGCTGCCCCCGCTCCTCTGCATGACAGTGCGCAGAAACTCCTTTCATGCGCGTGTGTGCACACACACACACACACACATACACACACTTGGTGTGATTTTCAAGATGTGGGCCCTGGGACTCAAATTGTAGTCAACCATGTGGGATCCAGCTGCCCTGACCACTGTGCTACTGCTGGCCCTGTATATTCTTTTTTTTTTCTCTTTTTTTTTGGGGGGGGGAGGGTTTTACTACAGAGCACGTGCGCTCGCCAGACAGAGAGAGACAGAGAGATAGAAAGCAAAAAATCACCCCCCAGGGGGGATGGCCACGCCACAATCCCTCCTCCTACATTCTCCTCTCGGGATCTTGGGCACGCACGCACATGCACCCGGCGTGAGTTTAAGCCACCGGGTCGGGGACTCGAACCGCGGTCAGCTACAGCGACATAACTATTACGCTAACTGCTGGTCCCGGCCCTGTATGTTCTTTAAAACATGGAGAAAAGCAGGCTTACCATCTCCTTCTCTTGGTATAGTGTTTTCCTCCTTATGCATGAATGTTTCTCTCCACTACTAGAGTGTACTAATCGGGTTGGCCAAAACCAGCAGAGGGGCTTTTGAGGTTAAACAGGGAAGGATTCTAGGGCTACTGGCCTCTCTGACCCCTTCATGTGAATTAGAAACAGCCCCTTCCTCGGACACAGGAGGGCAGCCCAGCTCCCACTCAGCCACTTCCACACAGCTGCAGGTATGCCTGGACATGCAAACACAACAGCCCTGGACAAGGGCTGAGGGTCAGGGCACAGAGGCCAGGAGAGTAGGCATGAGTGGGGGAGCAGCAGAGGGTGGGAGGAGCGTGCCCTGCCCCCTAGCTCTGTCCTTTTTCTCCAGAAGTCTGGCAGAAGATGGAGCAGGAGGAACCCTCCCCCAGCTGCCTTGCAAGTACTCTGTCCACAGCATGCAGCAGGGGCAGCCACCTAGAGGTTGTGAGGGAAAAAGGGACCAGGCAGGGCCACATGAGCAATGGCAAATTAGACTCTTCACCCTTCCCAATCAGAGGGAGGAGAAGTAGGAAGTAACCAAATATCGACAAGGACAGGGAGCACAGGCCAAGCGACCTCGAGGAGCCCTGGGCAATCTTGCTGCACCTGGCATTCAAGGATCAGAAGGCACCCTGCAGAGGCTGGCAGGGAGGGAGGCGGAGGGTGGCAGGAGCTAGAAACCCAAGCTGGCTTAGCCTAGGAGTGCAGCCATGAGGAGCCACTGCAGGAAGAGAGTGCTGTCCTGGGGCCTTCTGGATAAGTAGGTAGAAAGGAGGTTTGGGGATGATTTGAAAGGTCTGCATGGTGGCGGGTGGGGGTATGTCAGCCTCAACGATTTATGGATCAGAGGTCTCAACACAAGGTAAGGATATGTGTGGGACAAGAGATGGTGGCCCAGGTCTCGAGGGGTTAGAGAAGGGTGGGCACATGATCAGGGAAAAGAAAGTACTCTGAAAAAGCTAGTAAAACCCAGGGATCAGCAGAGTTTGGGGACTCCTAGCATTTCCGAGAGTCCTGAAAACGCCGGACAGTGACACGCTGGGTCACCAGAGAGGCATTCTGTGCAGCCGACCTGGCCACCATGTCTTCATCAGCTCTTTTGTCCCTGACATTCTTCTCTTAGATTTCATTAGAGCCTCAAAGAAGACAGAAGCCAGGAGTAATTTAGACTAAGAGAATGTGAGCTACCATTGTGAGTGTGAAAGGAGTATCTGCCCACTGCCATGCAGAGGGCCAGGGGCAGTCTAGCCACAGCCAGTGCATGTGTGGACAGACCTCTCTCCTGCCATGTGCAGGAGCCACATCCTGGAGACCTGGCCAGCTTGGGATAGCTCTTTTCGGGGCCCAGAGGGATTTCTTATTCTTACTTTTAAAAATAAGGGATTTCTTACTCTTACTCTTACTTTTAAAAATATACACAGGAGTAGAGGAATCAGCAGTTAATGTAATGGCTATGTTGCTGGACTCCCATGTAGTCAACTGTGGTTCAAGTCCTGAATCTGGTGGCTTAAACTCACGCCAGGTGCATGTGCGTGCATGCCCAAGATCCCAAGAGGAGAATGGAGGAGAAGGGATTGCAGTGTGGCCATCCCCCCTGGGAGGTGATTTCTTGCTTTCTGTCTCTCTGTCTTTTTGGCGAGAGCACACGCCCTATAGCGGAAAAAAAAAAAAAAAAAAAAACTGTCAAAAAAATATACACAGGAGTAGAGAGACTTGTATAGGTGCCTTCCGCTTACCCAGTTCTAACACCTTGCTGATCTCATTCCACTTATTTTCTTTGCCCCATCTTCTTATCATTAAAGTATTTTTTAAGAATTATTTATTTATTATACTTATTCATTCATTCATTTTTAATTTGACCAGAGAGAGGCACAGAGAGAGGGAAAGTGAGAGAGCAAGCCAGCAGGCCTGGGACTTGAACAGTGGTTGACCATGTGGGAGTGTCCAGCACCTTAACCACCACGCCACCTGCTGGCCCCAATTGTTGGAGTATTTTTAAAGCAACTTCTACCTATTTTAGATTTCAGCCAGGAACACTTCCGTATTTTAAAACCAGAACCACGAGAATAAGATGAACAAAAACTACTTAAAATCATTTAGATCCCAGTCCATGTTCAATTTTTCCCAATTATCTAAAAATGCTAGTTGAAAGCTGATTTTTTCATTCAGGATCAAGGAAAGATCCCCACGTTGCATTTGCACTATTTCTAGTTCATCTGTGAAATTTTACAATTTCCCCCCAGAAGGGTTTTTTAAGACGTCAGAAGGTTGGCTGGCCCCTGGTGCAGTAGTTAAGCACTGTGCATAGACAGCCATGCAGTAGTTAAGCGCTGTGTATAGACAGCCAGATCCCACATGGAAGCCCTAGGTCCCTGCCCTGGGGCTTGAAAACACACTGAGCACACGAGGGTAAGGTTTGGCTGCTGAGGGCTCGCTCTTCAAGCACAATGGAAGACGCTAGTTAGTGTCCCTCAGACCAAGCAGAGAAACAGTGGAGGGAAAACGAGATAGGAAACCCAGATTTGCTCAGAAGTGTAGACTTTCGGCTCTCTAGCTTGGTTACCAACCCAAATATTAACCTGTGTATCAATAGAAGGATGTACCAGTAACACCCACAGCCCCTTGACTATGTGTTACAGACGTCACACTTGAGTTGGGGACAATATCTGTAATCTGGTTAGAGGAAGGCAGCCCAGGGCTTGCACGGGGTATGGGGCCTCAGGACACAGGAGGAGGAAATTCTGGAGGACCACAGAGCACCTATGACAGTAAAACCCTCTGAAAGGAACTTGAGCCAATTTACGTATCCACAGAAGCAGAGGAGACCGAGTAGGTAAGAACTGTCCTAATAAGAGCCAGAAAGCAGCTACAAAGCAACAAGGGGGACAGCTGTGGTGGCAGCTGTCCTTGCACTCGGCATTGCCTCCTGAGTAAGGGTAGGCAGATTTGGGATTTACTATTGTTATTAAGTGTGCATAAAGCCGCACCATATGCTACACTAATAAACTGTAACACTAATAGCCATTTTATGGCACATGACATAATAAAACCTCCATGCACAGAGAACCCGGCTTCTGCAGGGCACAAAAGCACAGCTCAAGTGTGATCTTTGTAACCTAATATTAGGATTGTAAGGACGCCAGGACCAAAGCTTTAGTCCAGATGACGACTGCTAACGGTTCAGTGTTAAGCAGCACAAGGTTCATGTGGAGGGACACTGGGACCCTGGTCCCTCATTGATACCTCTTCCCACACGGCTTCAGAAATCGGGTCTCTGCATTCCCCGTGTTAGGCAGCAGGACGGTACCTGTAGCTTCCGGGTTGGGGTAGGGACTCTTATCCTCATTTTCATTGGGCTGGAGGTCATCCATGTGGATCTGGCGGCCAAGGGGGAGAAGAAGGAAGAGCCTAGTTAGATTCAGCCACAGCTTTGGTGGCTCGGAGGAGCCTTGACATGACATCTTGGTCAGTGCAGAGCTCAAGATGCACCCTGTCACTTTGCACACCCTTTCCAGACACTGGAGAAAGGCTGGGACTCAGCAGGTCTGCCTGCTCTGCTCTCCCCAGCACTCCTGCTCCAGGCCCACTGGCTTCCCAGCCGCCTTCCCACTGCTGCCCGGGTAGGGTGTGGTTCTGCTCCCTCTACTATGGGTCTCACGGAGTCAGGGAGAGATGGCCACTCACCTTGGTGCTGGGTGGAGACTCTCCATCAGCCGTAATGGATTTCAGCTCTATTTTCTCCTCCTTGGTCTCCTCCACTGCCGGCTTCTCCACCACCTCTTGTTTTTTCTCTGGGCTGGCAGTCCTGGCCGGTCAGCAGGAGAGAAACAGAGATGTTTACTGAACTGCTTGGAAACAGTGTGGGGGGCTGCCCTGTGGTCTGCTGTGGGCCAGTGGGAATGGATTTCCTGGCTCTGTGTCTACCTTCCTCCACCCAGGGCACACGGCGGGCAGCTCAATCTAAACGGCACAGGCTCGAGCTACGCCTGGCTCTGCCTGACACTCTGTGGTCTCCTTCTGGCTTCTTGGCCTCCAACAGTCCCTATATCAGAAAGACTCTGGGTCTCATTTAGAACCAGTTCCTGGAGGAACTCTGGTATCCAGCAGACGCTTAGCCCATTGACAGTCTCGTCTGACCAGGATGGGACACAATGTCGAGTCTTGTCTTGGTTTCTCAGCACTGGAAAAGAGTTACCCGATGGCAAGAGGAAGCATTCATTAAACCGGCCTTGTTTTGAGGGCACTAACAATAAGAATAGCATTGCCTCTCAAAAGAACCCTCCAAATTCCTATTGCATTTCCTTTTTTTTTTTTTTTGGAGAGGTTTTCGATATAGGGCGTGTGTGCTCACCAGACAGACAGAGAGAGACAGAGAGACAGAAAGTGAGAAATCACCCCCCCAGGGGGGATGGCCACGCCGCAATCCCTTCTCCTCCGTTCTCCTCTCGGGATCTTGGGCACGCATGCACACGCGCCCAGCGTGAATTTTAAGCCACCGGGTCCGGGATGCGAACTGCGGTCGACTACGTGGGAGCCCAACAACATAGCCATCCTATTGCATTTCCTAAAGAGAGACTATAACTCACGAAGCTCCCTTCTAGAGCACTGCCTAGGAATTAGGACCAAAGTCAGCCCCCAGAGGGACAGCCGGAGGCTAATGCCAAGCCCTCCACTGACAGCGGAAGTGGCACTCCAGATTTGAGTCCGGGGCTTGGGCCTGGGAAGGAATGGAGGGTTACCTGGCCAGCTTCTTTCTCTCTTTTTCCTCCTCCTCCTCCTTTTGGGCAGACGTGAGGCTCTCGGCATCGGCCAGGTTGTCCACAGCAATGGCCAAGAATACATTCAGTAGGATATCTGTTTGTGTCCATTCTTAAAGAAAACGACCCTTGGTCTTGGGGTGTTGAGGGGTGGGGGGGTGGACATGCAGGAGAAGAGCTCCGAGCAGGGAGAGCTTGGTGGTGGATCACTGGGGTGGCTCCACACCCAGCAGTGTCCCTACTCCCCATTTCCTTCCCCGGTATCCTTCTGGAGCTGTCTAAGGAGTTAGGATCAGGCCGGCCTAAGGCTGCAGTGGGTGGGAGTGAGGCAGCAAGCCGGCCTTGCTCTTTAATTGCTGGGTTTCCTTGCGGGCCTCCCCCTGCGATGACTGGCTGTAACTGGCATTGGGAACAGTACGGCCTCTAGCAGAATGCAGAATGCGAGCGGGTCATCATGTCTGGGCACTGAGAAGTCGGCCCATACTTCTGCCAGCTCTCCGTGTGAGCCTGCACATACAGAGACCCTCAGAGGGTCTGCTGGAGCTGCCAGAGCTGGGCAGCGCTCATAATCCTCGCCCATCTCTGCCTGCTCCCGCCCCCGCCCTGGCAAGAGAAACAGTGTGGGTCAGATAACTGCAGAACCAAATGTGTGCCTGGAAGCGTTCGCTGTTGTCGGGTCTGCGTCCTCACAAGGCCCCAGACATTCACACCACTCCACGTACAGGCAGGTGAAAGGCCTGTCCAACGTGGCTGCTGAGTACACGTGGCCTCCCACCCCTCCAACAGTGATGGGGCTCTACAGGCCTTACTCTATTGAAAATCACAGTGGCCCCTTAAGTCGAGGCCCTGTCACCCTCTCATTGCATTTTATGCCTGCTGAGGGAGAGAACCCATACTTTGCTGAAAGCCACCTGGGGGACAAGATGCAACGCTTTGTTTGTCAGCGTAGAGGACCGTGTTCTGCACTGCCCCTAGCTGGGATTTCCCCGAGTCTGGGGCCTCCTCAGGAGTTCCACTCCACCCCTGCCCTGGGCTCTCACAGGGCTGGTGCAGGGGAGAAGTGCCTGTGGCTCGAGACCCCACAGAAGGCCCTGGCTGGGAGGCCAGAGCTACCACTCTGCCCGTAAGTAAAGTCCCAACCAAAAAGCAGGAGGAGGGCTGCCCGCTGCTTCCCGGTGATGGCTTGGCCCTCCTGAAGGGGGCATCCTACCACTGACCGCAGTCCCAGTACAGCTGGTGCCAACTCCAGGTGTGTCCGCATCACAGTCTGTGAATGGCTGCCCAGGCCACCATGCCAGGAGCACCGTTCACCTAGACTATGATGAGAACATACGTCTTGGGCTTCATCTGGAAGACAAACCTCACCTAAGCCAGAGTTGCCGGCTTCCACCCAGACCCACCTCCACTGCCGAGCGCTCTGGACTGGGCAGGGATTTCTCGCCCGAGCAGCCTCCCGGCACACAGGGGCCACAATGCCCTGCCCTGAGCCCAGGCCTGCTGGGCACACCCAGGTGGCACACGCTGCCGGGTGAGGGTGGGCAGCAGGGGTGGGGAGGCAGCAACAAAGGATACAATTTCCACAGATGAAGAGGATGATGAAGTAAATACAGACTAACATCCCTGGAAAAGAGGGGCCGCCATAAGCCATGATCCCATCATACATCACCGAATTCCAGTCCTCCCCGGTCAGGATCTGAATGACACATTCCCACCAATAAGGGACACAGCGTTAGACCAACAGCAAACCCAAGCCCCCCTGCCCTGCCCTGCCCACTAAGTTCATAAATACATCCAAACTCACTTTTTCACTTCTCCCTTTCCTGGTCCCCATCTATTCCCCAGGCTTGGAGCTAGCACTCTGTGTAAGTCTGACCAGTCCTTAGAAAAAGTGCACGACCATTATCTAAGGAGTGACTAGAAGGGCTTTCTGGTCAAAATATCTCGGGACAGCTGTGACTGTGTGGTTGGGACAGTGATGCGCTGTACCAGTGCGTCCCAAACATGAGTCACTGGACACCACCTTTAAGACCGTGGCAACACCCATGTATTGCTCACTTCTATCTGTACATCAGTCTACTGTTACTCTGAAATAAGCAAAACCACAAATTCAGTGGGCTGCATATGTTTTTGCTCAGGGGGAGGAAAGTGATAGGAAAGATAGAGCCCCATCCCCTCTCCTTCCCTGGTGAGAGCCACCTTTTGCTTTTCTTTGATTATATTTTGAGCTTTCACGTAGAATTTATATGACTAAGGGGTTCCTTGGCCAACGAATGGTTTTTAAGTCACTCAATTAGATTCTTCACAACTGTCCACCCAGCATGGGAGCCTGGGGGATGGAGAAATGATAGAAAGAACTCAACGGCATGGACCGCCCAGGGCTGATCTAGGCTGGCAGTCACTGCCCAATGACAGGACGAAGCTTTCTATCTCCTTTCAAGGCTCCCCCACCCCATGCCGCTCAAACTCCCTCCTGGTCAGAATTCCAGCTGAGAAGATTCCGTACCTGAAACACCGTGAGGAGGGACTGGGGGAAGTTATCAAATGTGCTCCTGCGGGTCTGCATCTCATCGAAGTTGAACTTCCCTCCAAAGAGCTGCATCCCCAGAAGGGAGAAGATGATGATGAAGAGGAAGAGGAGCAGGAGCAGGGAAGCGATGGAACGCACGGAGTTCAGCAAGGACGCCACCAGGTTGCTCAGCGAGTTCCAGTACCTGCGGGTGGCACGAGGGGTCAGCGTCCTCTCCCGAGCATCGTCCCTCATTCGCCCTCTACGAGTTGTACAGTGAATTTCCCCTGCCCGACCTCACCCCCTTTCCTTGGGGTAGTGGAGGTGGGGGTGGGGTGGTGATGGTGAGAGCTGGGCGGTAAGCTCACGAGCAGAGGGTGGTCTAGTGAGTGTGGGATCCAAGATGAGCAGCGGGCATTATGAGAGCCTGAGTCCCACTCTCCCTCCGCTGGCTGCCCTGCCCGTGCCCCTGGGCAAGTCATTAACTTCGCTGCTTCCTGCTTCTCCTGCTGGAAAACGGAGACAACAGTAGCATGGACTTGATTGGGTACTGGGGGACTACATGAGATGCCTCCGTGGCACAGTCTGTAAAAGTTAGTATGGCACTCACTGCTGCTTTTTTGACAGGAAGAAAATACCTGCACCCCCACCCCATCTGGTTTTTTGTTTGTTTGTTTTTCGAGAATGTCAGTCTGAGCTCAGCTCAGATCACTTGATCACTGATGGGTAGGAGAGGGTATGCAGCTTAGCAAAGCTTCCCAAATTTACCCTGTCCCAAGACTCAGTTCTTAAAAAGCTTTCTTCTAGGAATGTTGATTCAATAGCTGTAGTTGGGGCCTGGGTATTTGTATTAATTTGTTTTTTTAGGGTGGGTGGCCATGCTGTAATCCCTTCTCCATTCTCCTCCTGGGATCATGGGCACAGATGCACACACATGCACCTGATATGATTTTCAAGCCACCAGGTCTAGGACTCGAATTGTGTTTGGCCATGTGTGAGCCCAGAGCCTTAACCATCATGCCTCCTGCTGGTCCGGGAATCTGTATTTTGAATAAGCATCACACAGAACCCTGATAAACAGAGAAGCTCAGGAAATGCTGGATTAAGGCCAGATTCCCATCGCTACGCCCTGGGCAGAGCTGGGGTTTAGGGGGTTCTGAGGAGAGGAGGGCTTCACTAGGAGAGTTGGCGCCTCTCCCCACTTCAAGCACAGAGGCCCTCGTCATGGCCTAGGGAAAACCCCTTCTCGAAAGTGAGAGGAGGCAACATCCTGTTGGTTCCTGGATGTGCTGTGGGCACCTTGGACCAGGTCACCTGGGATCAGGCACATA